TTCAATCAACAGGCTGGTTCCCTTTTTGCACGAAATCTCTGATGAAGAGCTCAGTCGAACCCGAGAGAGACAGAAGCTGATGTCGCATCTTATCGCGCACTCTGAGTAGGACTTGGTACACAACAGGTGCGATGTCACTTTCCGGAAGGCATAGACTGACAGTTCCCCAAGGTCAGGGGCACACTGGCTGACAAGGCTCTTGAACACTGCAAGCATCAAACGCAGCGAGCGTGGCGTTGGTGGCTAGCGGCGCATAGACCTCGAGGACGAGTTCAGCATGGGCTGCAATCGTATCTTGCACTTGCGGGGTCTGGACGCACACTGGATTCCGGAGTATCACGGGCAGCACAAGCTTGATGTATTTGATGGTGGGTGCTGGTGGGCACAAAGGATCCGTATACGCCAACACGTTTATGGATGTTGCACTGCTCCTTATTATTGGACCCAAACCAGACCACCCACCAAAAGAACACAAAGCAGTCCGATATGCGGCCCGACAGTTTCTTTTTGTTATAACGGAAATTGCTGGAGAAGTTAGGCACTTGTTGCTTTTCTTTTCCCTTGGGTGAGTGGGTGGGCAGGGTCACCTCCCCCGTTTTGCCAGGGCACGGATGCGCCTGGAGCAGGAGGCGCGTTGACCCGCCGTGAAACTTAAAGGCAAGACAATGCGTGTCCTTGCAGGTGCGTGCAGTGCGCGCAAGGCGTGGCAGGCGTGCCCACGCCGGTCCTCCGGTGGACACTGGTGGTCCTGAGGACCGTAGGCGGTCGGAGAACCTAGAGTGTTCCGCGGGAGACTATGGAGAGATGGAAGTTGCATAGAGCATCTTTTTCCCTCTCCCTGCCCCCCTCCCTCTTTTTTCTGCAAACTCTTCCCTTTGCAGAGCCTCTTGTTCTCTGTGGGGAGCTGGTGTGTTGTGTGTGTTGGGATGGTCGTAAGTATTTGTTGCGTGTAAGAAGAAGGCCAAGTTGCAGATGGGCAGGGACTCCACGGGGGGTATTCCATGTCGGGTGGGTTTCAAATGAAACAGATCAAGTTTGGGTCAAGGCTAGGAGCAAAACGGCCACCGCGGAAGTAGATTCACAACACGCCCTAAACACAAGGGAAAAGAAAACCCTAAGCGTTAAGGCATGTTGCACTGCTCCTATCTTGGACCCAAACCAGACCACCCAAAAGAACAAAGCAAGTCCGCAGCGGCCGCAGTTCTTTTAACCGGGATTGCTGAAAGTAGCACTCCTTCCAGGGCACGGATGCGCCTGGAGCAGGAGGTGCGTTGACCCCCCCTTCAGTGTTTCAGGCAACCCCGGTATAAGCGAGTCAGCCGGCGGCCCTCATTTTTGTCAAAGCGGCTTGCTGTGAAGCTGCTGACAGATGCAGCCAGATATTCTGGCTGCCAGGGCGATGTCGGGTCGCAATGCCTGTTGGGAGGCAGCAAGGCTTGTCTACACGCTGCTGGCAGCAGCTGCCAGGTGTTCCGGGCGCCAGGGCGCATCAATCGGACACTGCCTGACAGTGCAAGGCCTGCAGGGCTGAAGCGTACGCGACTCTCTGGGCGATGGCTGAATTGGGCTAACCGACCTCTGCTTAGGTCGTCTGCCCAATCATTGTTCCTGCCTGGAACATGTGTGGGCTGCAGCAACACGTTGTGCGCATGCGCTTAGAAGGCTGTGAGCTGCACGAAGAGTTGCAGCGGCCAGGAAGTCGTGAACAACTTGTTAAGGCTTGCTTCCGTTGCCAAGTTATCAGTGCCTGAAGGCATGCTGAACGAGTAGTGCCCACCACCAATATGGCTATGGGTGGCCTGCAGCAGCGCCAACTGCGCCAGCGATTCGAAACATGCGATGTATCGCTGTCCAGGCTTGACAAGGCAAGGCAATGTCCTGCATGTTCCAGGTTTCAGCAAACCAAACCACTTGTGATGAAGTGATTGCCCAGCCCCCTATACCTACCAAGTCGTCTTCGGCACAGGCATCTGCGGCTGCCAGTGCCTGCAGCTGGTGCGGCCGTGCCAATGGCTGAACCGGCGAGCGCTGGAAGCACGAAGCTAGCCACGTAAGGCATTGCTGGCTCGACTTGGAAAGGCCAGTGTAGGGGTTATTCGGATGTGAGACACGTACCCACGTGGGTTTGCTGGTGCCTGGCACACGCGGGACGTCCTGAGGGCAGTGCATATGGGGCGGCCTAAGAATTTTGGAGCCCACGATCCAAAGGCTGGGAAGGCTATGGCTGGTTTTGAGGTCCTTGTTCAAGGAGGCTCTGAAGGCTGACCACATTTGTGGTGGTATTGAGTGCATCGAGCCCGGAGGGCTGTTGAGATCAGAGTATAGCGGCGCTAGCCAAGATCTGAGTGCTGGTGGCCCAAATGAGCAGGCCTACGCACTGCTCGAGTGTCTTACGTAGTACTCGTTTGCTTCCCAGCAATGCTTTGATCAAGGCGTCCAGCTTCATCAGCTTAGCGGACACGAGCTGAATGGTATCGTGGGAGAAGTTGATCTCCCAGCCACACCAAATGAAATGGGCGCAGCAATTGCGCAGAAGAACAGCACCACTAAAGCGAACATTTCTGAGGCGCTGTCTTGGACGAGTGCGCACAGCAGGTCATCCACGAAAAGGAAGGCTTTGTGGGGCTTCCAAGCCAACAGCCCATGCACTTGGCGGAGTAGAAACGCGCCAGCGCGCTGCCACCAGAACGCCGACAAACGGCCTCCGAAATGGCATACTCCATAATGGTAGAGTTTTTCCTGAAAAGCAAACAGTAGAAGGCCATGCTCTTCAGGGCGGACCTGCACCTGTTTGCGCGCGGCTTTGAAGTCAATACTTGCCCCCACGAAGGCACCTGGAGTGTCTTCTGGTTGCGTGGACAGCGCCAGCTCAAGCCATTGGCAGGCTAAGGCGCTCTGGTATGTTGACGTGCCACACGGCGCTGTCCAGAACAAGGCGAGGCTCTTTTCCTTCTGCAAAGACCACATTTAGTTTGCCTACGCCGATACCTAAAGGCCATTTTTCCCGAGCTTCGGCAAGGCTAAGGCCGGTTTCTACAATCCAGTTGTTGGCAATTTCATTGCACAACAGGCTTTGAACTGTCTCTGGCTCGTCCTCTTCACAAATTTCTAGATCTGGTGGCACGACCGTGTCCGGCTTTTTGGCCGGCCATTGTTGGCTGGGTGGCAAGGCTGAGACAGCACCTGTTGGTACCCCGTGTTGCAAGAACGGCAGCAGGGCCATGTCTGGGTCACCCCAAGAGTTGGCTAGGGCCTGCAGCAAATGTAGTCTGTATGGTTGTCCTGCTTCGGGTTCATGTTTGGAGGGCAGGGCAATTGCAGAGCTGTGTAAGCCATGTTTGCCACTTCCAGGCTTTTTCGGTGGAGAGAGAGGAGGGCAAGTCTGGGGAGTTTTTTTTGGGGCTTGGTGCCAGCAGGCGGTCTCATTTCCCGCCCCAGGTAGCCCGACCACTCTGCCCTAAAGCGGGGCGTCTGATTGAAGCGTTGCGCCCCGAACGCGAATGGTCTTCATTTGACTGTTGTTCGCATTGACTGCGCCCGCAGCCCGTGTCCAGCCGCACCGGTGCGATGGCTCTAGCGCTGGGTTGTTGAATGTCGCGTAGCGCTCGAACGGGGGGGTACTGGCGGGCTAACGGCATCCGCAAGTCAGCCGGCATCACTGTCGTCCAGGTCGCCGCTGCCCTTTTCTGGCTCCTGCCCTTAGCGGCTGACCCAGCACTAGCTGTTGAAGGCCCGCGCTCCTCCAGTTCTCGGTGGTGATTCAGCGCTTTTTTTCAGCAGCAGCGCTGCAGTTTGTAGCTGGGGTACGTTCTTGCGGAACCACCGGAGCATCCGCGGCACGTTGCGGTGGTTTCAATCGACATCATGCTTTTATACCAGTACGCTTGCGCCTGTGGTCAGCCGGTCATAAGCGGACTGCCTCTCCAGCATGCGCAGCGCGCGCTGCTGCTTTCTTGTGAGCTGAGGCGCCTCCTCCGCCGGTGCCTCAGCCGGTGCCTCTGCTGGTGTCTCAGCCGGTGCCTCAACCGGGGGCGGCTTTGGCTTGCGCTTTGGGCTCAGTAGGCACGTCCTGCTTCGGTTTGTTCTTGCTCCCAGGGGGCCTGCCCCGCCGTTTCGGTTCCGGCGCAGCGTCCTGCGCAGCGTCCGGCGCAGAAGCATTCACAAAGCTCTGCGACGGCGACTCTCTCCGAGTGCGAGCGCGAGGCGCGCGAGGCGGCAGCGAACCTGGTGCTGTCTACCGTCCTTCCGCACTCCGTGAGAATGGGGACTCGTGTGCTCGAGACCCTGGACAACATGCGGGAGATACTGTCCTACGACAGCATCGGCTGCTGACGGAATTGGAGCATTGCCTGGTAGAGTGGTTGGATCGCCGCGCAGCCGCCCCGGACGCTCCGCCCGTGAAGCCTCAGTCTCCGCGCCAGCCCATTTACCTGAGCGTGCAG